GAAACCATTTACTAGCCAGACTGATGAAGCAAAGTAGGGGATACAAATATTGAGCTAATAGAGTCTTTTGGAGATCCAAATTAAAAATTCATGGAATGCACACATAGCATCTATTGGGAACACCTTAAAGCAGGCAACCTTTTCCTGAAATCAAACATCAATAACTTTAAGGTATTCATGACAGGTGCCAGTCTGCTACAAATCACATTTTGATATTTGAATCTGGATCTCTACAAAAACCCATAAATAACGCAATGAAATTTGATCTAAATTCAATTACATTAATTGAAATTATGTTGAAATAATACTTGATCAGGACATGACTGACATTACGTGCCAATAAAATTAATTTACATATTACTCTTTTAGTGGCTTACAAAGTACTGACTGTTAAAGGAATTTACACCAACTATGTGCTGAACTAGCAGATCAAGAACAAACATGAAGCACTTCAAAGGAGTTTCAGGCAGACAACTAGGGTTTTACTTTCCTCCTTTCTCCTCCCACATTTTCCAGAAACTGAAATGTAATTAGCTAATCTTTTCCCAAATTGGAGCTCGTATACTCTTCATGTAATTACCCCAATGTTTTTGTCCCTCACCTTTCCTATACTGTATATTCAGCGACCTCTTTCTTTGATCTGATGCTCTCCAGATATTGTGGAACAGAGATAATGATAACCGAACCCGAAGGGTATCTGGAGAATTTAAAATTAGGCAAGGCCATTTAATGTCAAGTGATGCTTTTTAGATCTTTTAAAACGTTAGATTGAGATTTTATATTTTAATGCACCTGTATTAAGTTACATAAGTAAGCAATAAATTAAGATTACATATTATGTAATCTTAATAAGAATTTTTTGCAGAACCTGAACATTTGCATATGACAACAGTTAAAAAATGCACACAATGCCTCAAAGAAACCTGATGGATTTCCAAGATAGTACTTTGATTGAAAGATAATTATTTCCTTTAAGAACTTCTATAACTGAGTTCTTGTCGTTTATTGGAAATAAGAAAATAAAACAATTGAAAGCCATATTTTAATGGAAAGACGAGTTTGCTTGCTTTTGCATAATCTCTGAAACCTACATTTCATTTTGAAGACAGCCACTCTCACCCCATCAGTGTCAGGAGGGAGAAAATAAAACATTACCTTAAACCAGTTTCTCTAAATGCTTCAGCTTGCAAAGAACTGCCAGTGGTAAGTTGCTTTGTGCTGCCTCTCTTCTGCACGACCACATAGTGATAATAATCAGAGCCCTTACTTCTTTTCCCATCCATAATCATTACCACTGCAGAATAAGCATCAAGTTAACTGCTTTGAGCAGAAACCAAGTGTTTTCCAGGAATCCTCCTTTCAAAGGCAAACATGATATGTTTAGGGGAAAAGCTTGCTCAGGCTTCTAATACTCTCATGTATTTAGGAAAAAAGCTTGCTCGGGTTCTGGAACTCTCATATTGCTTTGCATTCAGCATACTTTTGTATCAAATGTGCCACCCACATTTTGAGGAACTTTTAGCCTTTTCACTATTGGTGTATACCAGTGTTTTCAAAACTTGGCAACTGTTAAGTTGTGTGGTCTTCAACTCTCAGAATTCCCCAAGTTTGAAAAACCCTGATGCATGTAATCTCTCTAAAACCAGATTCCCCAAGCTGGTATCTTCAACGTTTCTAGTCTGCATGAGAGGTGTGGATGGGGAATGACAAGAATTGCAGTCTGCCAATGAGGCATGAAGTTGGGGAAACTTGCTCTAAGCCAAAAGAAAACATGCTGTTGAGGCAACAACACGTGTAGTAGCTTTTATATCAAGGATGACCTCCACAGCCAAGATTGTGTTGAAAAGTCAAGGGGAAGAGTGAGTTATTGTAGTGTTTTCCTACTCACATAGATCAAAAATTAACATTGCATTTAACTTACTTGTCTTGTTTCTAATGTATCAATTAATTTCCGAGAACAGTATTTTTTCTTTTAACCCCTTTTAAACAAAGTCATTTTGGTGTAGTAGTTAAAGCACCAGGCTAGAAACTGGGAGATCATGAATTCTAATCCTCCTTTAGGCACAAAATCAGCTGGGTGACTTTGAGCCAATTACTTTCTCTCAGTCCTAGGAAGCAAGCAATGGCTAGCTACTTTCCAAAAAACCCTATCAAGAAAACTGCAGGGACCAGGCAACGCAGTGAGCGGGTGTTAACAGTGACCAAAAAAAAGTGTCTGATGTTAAGGCCATAGACACGAAGTAATAGTGAATAGCCATTAATGTTGCCATCTGCAAAACAGATCCGTCTTACAGTGCTGCTAAACCAGCTTTTATGGATGCTCAAGGAACTGCATGATCCGGTGTACATCTTCTCAGCTCAGATTTATCTAAAATTACTGTCTCATGAACATAATCACGTTTTTATTCCAAATGTTGATGTATAGAAAGTTTTTTCCTTCTCTTGCTAGTCCACCCACATTTCAGGTGTATATTTGTAAAAGGGCACCATCGGAAATTATCTGGAGACTATTCAACAGAATTTAAACACCCAATGATGTTGTCTATTATCTGACAATATCTCTATCGTTAGCAGGTTTAGCATTACATGCTTTCTCAGAAAGGTAAACTAGGGTTGGACCTACATACAATTTGCATGAGACACCATCAAGAAATAGGCTGTCCAAAAGCAAGCAAAGAACCAAAAACCGCATGCAAGAAGTCATGGGGTAAGGAAATAGCAAATCATTTTTATTTTGTTGCCAAGAAGTATACATGAAAGTATCTCTCAAAGTCAAGCTTGAGTTGAAATAGAAATTATTTTATTATAGTTACTATAGCTATACACATCACTTCAGATTTGATTTTAGACATGTCCTTTGGAGCATGGGAGAGCAAATAGCACTATACCGCACTTCTTTAAAGCAGCCACACCTTTGCCTCATATTCTATAGTAGCTGCAGAGGGTAAAATACAAAATAGGGGCTATTTCATAATTATTATAATTATATTGGACATCTTTTGTATCACACACATACAAAAATAATAACAATGCAAAAATTAACAACCCAGCAGATATTGTTTGTCTTAAGTTTTTATATTCAGGAAATCAGTACAGTAATAGTTCACTGTTCCTGTCTGCACAAGTACGTTAAGGTTCCTCTCTCCATCTTTAGACATAAATAAACCTTACAGAGATATGAATCCAGGCTTCCTATAATGGAATCTAGTGTTATCTTGTTATACCACTCCTGACTCCAAATTGAAGTTCAATTACATTATATGTAAGACTAAGTATAACAAAAATATTTGCTATAAATATGAAATTTTGAAAACACGAATCCAGGGCAACAGGTAAACAAGATACTAATCCACTATTAATTAAAATGTGATTTGCTAAATTAGCGCAACTGCTTGGGTTCATACAGCATACCAAACCATAAATTATCCATGTTGGCACACTTTGTATAAACAGACTAAGTTGTGGACTGATCAATCGTACTTTAGATTAGTTCAGTTCATGTATCTACAGTTAGAAGAAAGTAGCTGGACAAATACCACAATATAAATATACAGAATTACCCGTAGTTTTTAACCATTATAATTTGCACTCTCAAGAAATTCTTCTAGCATCCTCCCCCCCCCCCCAAAAAAAGTACTGTAATTAATGTAGTGGAGGGAAGAAAAATACTTTAAGAATTTTCTTACATTACCTCTTTTCCCCCCACTCTTAGCTGCAGCTACATTTCAAAGATAAATTTAATCTGTTCAACTTCCTCCAACTTCAAATGCTGTAAATCTCTAAATACAATATATATATATATTAAGATATAGTAGTTCCTGAAAAGCTAAGTGAAAAAAAATCTGACACTGGTCCTAATTTACATCTCAAACACACATAGACTATGCATTTCAGAGAAGGTGGTACTTTATGTTTTGTGGGTGATATATTTTGTGAGTCTTGGTAAAATCTGTGATTTTTACATTGGATCCACTTGAAAGAACCATCGGATGACAGACTACATTTGCTTATATTTTTATGTGGGGCTGATGATGCAGTAGTTATGGTGTAGACATCTGGATCTCATGCAACTGGTGAGAGGAATCATCTTGAGGTTGCGGTATTTGAAATATCATCTCTACATGGATATCAGACAATCCTCCTGTTTTTTTAACTTTGACGTTGGCATCATACACTTTGTCAGATTTATAACTGTTAACATCACCACAAGAGTAGTTTCAAATGGAGTTCTTACCAAAGCAACAATTCCTATTTTTTGCACCGAAGCTCTAGCTCACCCATGAACCAAGCATGAACCAGAGCGTCTAAGGAGAATCTTTTATTTAAAAAACAGCATGGAAACCCGAAGGTACCCGTTTGATTTCGTACGTTTGATTTTGATTTTTAAAGCTGCATTGGCAGGGGGAGAGAAAAAAACAACCCCACTATTTTATTGTGTGTACTTCCAATTCTGCGGTTGGATCCAGACGTCCTCAGACGGCGATCTACCGAGATCAAGGGGGCTTAATGGTTCGTGTAGAGCCCCTTGATTTCAGGAAGGGTGGTTTCTCTAAACTTCGTTACGAAAAAGCATAATTATCCACTTTCCTCTCGCCCAGCTCTCCGCCACCGCCGCTACAGACGGAGATCCGTGGCTGGCCCGTTGGTGTCCTTTCTTTCCCGCGCATCGCTGGGCGGAGCGAGAGGGAAAGCAACCTTCTTCCCCTCTTAGAGCCTAAGGCTCTCTTCACCGGCCTCTTTTTCCCTCCGGCTGGTTTCCAACCTAAGATACCTGGGCCAAAGGCGAGGCCGCCCCTCCCTTTTTTCCGCCGCTGCTCACCTGGCCCACATCCTGGAGAAAGAGAGGACGCACAGAGAAGGAGAGGTTTCCCTCACGGCGGCGGCTGGCGGGTGTGAGAGCTGAATCACAGCCAGCGCCTGAGTGATTCAGTGAACCTCTAAGCCACCCGCCGTCTGTCCGGAGTTTCCGGAGGGGGGAGGGGTAAAGAGAGGGGTGGGTGGGAAGAAAGGACTACTATAAAAGAAGGAAGAGCCAGCCAACTTTTTAGTTTAAAGCCGCTGGTCTCGTGCGCACACACACACAGAGAGGCGCGGGCACACACGCACATACACGCGCGCTCACGCAACCCTGCTCTCCGTTTCTTGAACCTCCCTTCGACGAGTCCTGATGGCCCGACGGTGTTTTCCCGCGGCGGGGGCGCCAGGTGCTCCAGCCTTGCTGCTGTGCGCGGTGCTCGCCCTGCTTCCCTCCGACTCAGGTGAGTGAGCGAACGGTGCGCGGTTAAGCCATCGATGCGGGCGCGCTCCCTTCTTCCGGCCCTCCTCTCCCCCCGCCACTATTCTGTTCATGAAGAACTCCCCGAGGTCCCCCCTTTTCGCGCCTTTGGACGTGGTCTGCTTTCCGTCTGGAGCGGTTAGGCTGGATTTTCCTCGCACTGACCAATGCTTCTGAATCGGCAGTTTCTATTTTGCTTCTAT